CGAAATCAGCTGCTCCCATTGGATATGGGTAAAGCTTGGCATAGATCGGTTGCTCATCTGTGGTCCTAATGGTAGCCACGACTGATGTGTTATACGGCAACGCCTCGTCTGGGTCCGCAAAGGCCTTTTGTCTAGCTTTTAGCATTTTCAAAAAAGAACTTCTAGCTAAAGGGGATGCCTCTGCACAGTCTACATTCGTGAAATTTACATTTTTGCACGTGTGGAAGGTGATTTGTTCGACCTCCGTACCCCACTTAAGTTGTCCTGAAGCTAGACAAAGCGAAGCAGCTGCCTGCTTTAGCAGGTCAAGGCCTACAATCCCATCAAAAGTTGATAAGTCCGGCAGAATAAAAAAGGTTGCCTTTAACCCAAACATTGAAACAAAGCATTTGTGTGTGATTTGTGTCTCGCCGTGAATGGAATGAATTTTAAAGGGGGACTCTACCGAGCGGACGCCTTTCAACCCCTCGTGTGGCCGAATGAAATTCTTGGCCGCGCCCGTGTCTATGAGGAATCGCATGTCAGTCCCTGCTACTCTTCGTCTGATGACGGGTAGCAGGGATTTGCTCCTAAAAAATTGAGGGCTTCAGAGTCATAACTATCGTCATTGATTTGTGCCGCTGCGCTAGAGGCGGCATCAGCATACGCCTCTGCCCCCTGTCCCACGTCTTGTGTGACGTGATTCAGCCTCTGCTGATTCCTCTGACCGCTTGTGCGGTCAGATGCGGGGTGCTTCCTATTCGCGTAAGCAGGGGCCTGAGTGGGCTGCAAGACCCTTGAGAAGGAAGGATCGACCTCCATGGGCACCGGTGCGCCATTATTATTGTGCTGCCTGCTGCTTCGTTGGTCAGACTGCACTGGGGCCCTGCTTTGCTTGCTAAAGTGCGGATTCTTTGTACCGCTAGCTTGTGTTTCGGCTTGTTGCGAATGCCTCTCCTGTTGGTGACCCTGTGCTTTTGCATGCGGCTTGCGCTCTTTGTCTTCTAGACTTTTTGCGAAGTTAGCCGCGAATGCGTACCTTTCATGGTTTGACTCGACTTCTTGTGCGAGAGCTAGTGCTGAAGGCAAATCTCTGGGCTTTGCTGCAAAGAGCACGTCTGTAAGACTGCGCTTGAGACCCGATATGAACACACGCAACGCATCGTCGCGGAATTTTTCACATAGGCCCTTTGCTAAAGCCGGCTCATATGACATGTTAACTTTGTTAGTGAGAAGAGCGAGTTTCTTCTCCACCTCATCGTAATATTGAAGCAGGGACAGGCCACCTTGCCTCAAGGTACCTAATTCCTGTTCAATGACATGAATTGGTCTCTTGTCACTGTATGTGAAATCTAGGCGATTTATTATCGCATCAAAATTCAGTACAGTACCAAATGAGGCCAGCACCGCGTCTGCGGGGCCCCTAATCTTGCTTCTTATAATGATGACAGCCTGATAATGACGAGAACTGCCATTATGTGGTCTGAAGATCTCGTAAGCGGCTAATGCTGCCTGCCTCCAAGATACATAAGATTCCTGTGCTCCTGCGAACTCAGGTAAGCACTTGACGGCATCTAGCGGCTCGTCACAGTGAATATCGTTTCTAATTTCTATAGCAGAATATGCTACTACTTGTGGGGTGGCAAAGCTTGTTGCTGCTATTTGTTTAGCTAACTCATTAATTCTTTGAGTCAATGCTTGCTCCCTCTGCTGGTTTGCAGCGGCCTGTTCGGCTAAGGCATTGCTGATGGCCGTTCTTACTACTTCCCTAAGCTGATCTGGATCCATTCTATCTGATGGTGGAGGAACTGCCGGTATAAGTCTTGTAGACGGAACTCTGATACGAGTGTCACAGTCGGAATCTGAGTCGCTAGATTGCTCGCGAGGGCTTCTATATTGGCTGAACCGTGGCATGCGCAGGCCAGTGGCCGCGAAAAATTAAACGGGCCGTCAAAAGATGGGTCGAATTAGACACATAGAAAGTAACACTAAGTATTTTTATCAGCCTAAATTCTCAGAGCAGCCACTCTCACGTATTTCAGAAACTTGGTTCTGATTATTATAATCTAATCTGTTGCAATACGAAATACTCACTAGTACTAACAAATTTTTTATAAAGTAAATTTAAGAAATTTTGTGTTTGAAAAAAAAATGTTGGCTGGAGTATCCACTTACATGATTTAAATTCCAAAAAAAAAAAAAAAATTTTTTTTTTTTTTTTTTTTTTTTTTTTTTTTTTTACGTTGGGCGCCAATTAATATGTTGCTGGTCCAGCGATGAACTAGGCGTCGGTGGCAGGTCCAGCGTTGATCGGGTATTTATAGTCTTAATCAATAAGTTGCTGGTCCAGCTATGAGCTAGGCGTCGGTGGCAGGTCCAGCGTTGATCGGGTAATTATAATCTTCTTATGATGATTATGTTGGAGGGTTTGACTTCACCCCCTTTTCTATTAACTGGCCTTGTGGCTCAGCAATGATCAGAAATATAACAATTTGATTACGGCGGTGTGCCGGAGTAGTGCGGGTTTATTCTTCAAACTTCAATGCAAAACTGATTTTTAGCTACATAGAATATTTCACTTAAGCTAAGCCAAAACTCGCATCACACCACAATGTCATGGTCGGCAAGCCGACTCAGCAATCTTAGGCAATAACGGAAACTCTTGCAGTAAACAAAAGTATCTGGTTACCGCCGCTGACCATTGCAGTTATAGCGCGCTGATACAAAGTATGCAGTGTCGCAATTGCGAGGGCTGTTTCTTAACTTACGAAACACGCGATAGCGAGGGTTGATTATAAACTTATGAAATACCCTATATTAAATGTTATGTGTTAACTTATATATATATATATATATATATATATATATATATATATATATATATGTGTGTGTGCGTGTCTGCCTGCACAAGACAAAGAGCTTGGGTTACGCAAGGTTAAGTTGGGATAATAAAGTAGTAGACAAGCCGTAAGTAGCGCATAAATTGCCAAGCAGCCAGCAAGGACTCCGGCACTTAGCCCAGGTAAGCACAAATTTATCAATAATACGAGTTGTTCATTAGGAAAGCAATGGGGGTAGGTTCTTATAAGTGTTTAAATGCAAAAGGTCTAGGTATATCTATCGACTTGAACGCTCTCTTAATTAAACTTGACATAAATCCGTTATGTTGCAGCTGGCGAAAAAAAACATGTTAAGGCTGGATTACAACAGTCTTTGATCAATTGTTTATTTAGTCAGCAATCGAAAGGTAAATCAAATGTTTTTCAATATTTTCAATAGTGTGTTATATTATGTATATATTATAAGTCTCTCTATCTCTTTCTCTACTTTATTGTTTCTTTTGTAAACCTCTAACTAGTTCTCAACCAGTTTATGCACTTACGGGCACGCAAATGATACTATGTAAATGTATAGTCTATAGCTAACTTTATTCATTATAAATTTTTCGTTCTTTTTGCCTTTTTGTTTCAATAGCTCAAATTTGGACTAGTTGCCAAGTTATATTTGATTTATTCCCAAAGAAAGTTCTTTGGTAAGCCTCCAAATAGTTCTCAACTTCATATATGATAAGCTAGTTCTAATAATTGAACTTTTTGTTCTCGCAGCTCATCTAGTGAACTCAATTACGTATATAAACTAGTTCTTAAAGAAATGAGTGGATTTGATTGTATTTGTTCATTTATATAGATCTAGACAACTATATCAGTATATAAAATAATCATGATCTAATTTTTTAACTTTCTTTCTAGCGGTAATCTTTGCATGACTGTAGTCCTGTTTGACTAAGATATGAAGCAGTTTCGCACAAGAAATAAAAGAGTTCCACTACATTTTTTCTTAAGAATTTCCTACACTCATATGTAGAGATTGATCTTATCTTTGTGTTGCGAAGCTATTGTAGTCATAATTTCTCATAACCAACACCTACACATAGAGAGACAAAAAAATTAGTCAACACGGTAAAAGAGCCCGTGGTTGAGAGGGTGGTAAGGGTGGCTGGAGCGGGCCAAGGGGAGAGAGTTGTGTAATTCACTTAATGCAACGCATTTCCGCTGTGCTGCGGGTTCGAATCGTTATCGCTATCTGAAACACCCAGACATGCCAACATGATTTCAATCTAGCAATACAAATGCATACACAAATATGTATTTATAATATACAAATATGGTACAGTGAAAACTCAATGGGGCGAACAGGCTAACCCTTAAAGCCCTGCAACCCAATATCCATATTTAAACTAACATCTGATTTCTATTATGGAATATTTTCAAAATGTTTTCTTATATTATATATTATAAATAATATTTTATAGTATTTTTTAGTTTGAAAAAAGAAAAATCTTTTATCTCGAATCTAATCAAGTTAACAAATAAGTTCAATAAATAGATGAAGTCTTGAAAATAAACTACTCAAAGCAGGGCTAGTTAGCTCGTTAGTGGGAGTTTTCACTGTAAATATGTCGATAGCATAAATATGACAGAATTGGCAGCTAGCTCCACACCGGCCTGAAGTGGACGAGAATGGAACGAGACGGGACGGAACGGAAGGGGGGCCGAAGTGCAATTGCAGTGCGCGCACCTCATTGAACTTTTCAGACAAACACAATTTGTCCGATAAGGGAAAAAATTCTACACGACAACGACGATGAGGTGAGGTGCAGGCGGGGGCGTGGCAGCATAGCGTACGAACGGACGGGCGGACGGATGGGCAAACTGACGGACGTCGCGCACTAATGGCCACCATTAATAATTGAAAAACTGAAACAGTTGAGCATGTGAGAGAACAGAAAGCGGGAGAAGGAGCTGGGAACATTGGTTTTGGGATGCCAAAGCATAGCTTAGTCTTGGGAGGATGGGCAGGTTGGGTGGTTGACAAAAATCTATAACCAAAAAAGTTATGAATAAGCGAACGAAACGAAAACGAAGCAACGAGCGAGAGAATGAGCTGAGGCGACGGCAGCGGAAAGATGAGAGAACAAAAAAACAGAAAAATAACGAAAAAGAAATGTTAAAGCTACAAACCTGTTCTATGCTGGCGTCGTCGCTGCTGCGCCTCCCGTCGATGTTCCTGTTGTTGTTCTTGTTTTTGTCGTACATAGCGAGTCCGAGGGGCTGGCGATGCTGCGGCGCTGCTGGCGACACGGCGACAATGTTGAAGCTGCTGCCGTTCTGCTTTGAGTTGTTATTGTTGTTGCTGCAGCAGCTGCAGCACTGGCCGCAACCAAATTGTAGGGAATCGCGTGCAAAGCACAGCCAAGCAGCATTGGAAAATTACAACAACAAAAAATGTTGCCTTTTTCTTTGTGGCAGCGAGTTTTCCCGACGAATTTTATTCTGCTGCAGTGCAAAGAATCGCACGAAACGATACTGAGACGGCAACTGCGACTGCGACGGCAACGACAACGGCGATTGAGTCGTGCGAACTAACGCCAGCTACAGAGCAGCGCAGAGCAGAGCAGAGCACAAGCCAGGCAAAAATATTGGAGCAAGGTGTTTCCAAATAGCGTCGACCGAGCTGCAACTGAGCAGCGCTCAGAGACACGGCGAATTCGCAGAGGTTGTCTGCGCAAAAGCAGAGCTGAGAGTAGGTTTGGCTCTCCTTGTTGTTGCTATTGCCGTTTCTGTTGCTGTTGTGTGTGCGTGTCTCCCACCACCAACAGGCGAAGAGTGGGCAAGTTAAGTCTGTCGCCTTATATTCTGTTGGGGCTGCTGCTGTCGCTGCTGCTGCTGTTGCTACTGCTGCTGCTGCTTGCGCTCGCGCTCTGCCGCCTGCCTCTGTGTCAATCGAATTAAACTGAGAGCAAACTGAGTAATTGGGTTTAGATATTTTTCCACAGATAGATTGAGACAATGTTATATATTTTCTTATTGTGTGTACATTTATTAATTCAATAATAGCACTGGCTCTTTGATAAAGCAAAATGCAGCAGTTACAACACTCGCTCACACACACGCACACACATATATATATACACGCACACACTCACGCGACCGTGTATACAAAAATCTGCACAGCGTTTTAAATTTAGTTGCGTTTGAACTTCGGTTCTGGCATTGTATGGAGAAACGGTAAACCTTGAACTTAAATGTATTTTACGTTGTTCACTAGTATTTGAATTTCTTAGCACTTTTCTTTGTTACACATTAGTTTTGAACCTTAACTCTGTCGAGTCTCGCAGCAGCGCGGCACAGCCTGTGCGCACTGAAAAACTTCTGCTGCAATACACAAATTTCTTTCTTACTTGCTGCGCGCACCACCTATCAGAAGCTGAGAAAATAATTTAATATATCTACGCGACGCGCGGCGACGTCCGTACGTAACGATTCTGTGAGAAAGAATGAGCATGCCTAGTATATCGATGCTACGATATGTATTAGCAGACACAAGCAATGTGTCGATATCTATCGATAAGTTGACCACTGGTTCAATTCTAAAAAATGAACCAGTTTGTGTTTGAAAACGGAACCATTATAACGTCCTTTTTGATTTTGATGAAATGCTTTTAATATTCTATGAATAAAAAACAAGGGAGTTCATATTTATGGTATTTAACAAATTGCAGACATTCGCGGTTAGCTTCTTAGTTGTTGAATATCCGCTTTATGCTTCATTGGCATTTCTCCAGATCAAAAAAATGCATCAAACTGAACAAAAATAATAAGAAAACCGCAAAAAATTATGGAATTGTCAAGGGCACAGTAATTTTTACGAGCTATTAAGTTTTTCGATTTAGAGGCTGCCAAATTATCGAGACTCGACTGTATATATGGACATATATGCATCTGCCACACAGTCTGAAACCCATGAGACACACAATTGAAGTGTCTGAAAATCTGAATCATGTTTCTTGTCGTCTCTTTTGTATAAACAAAGCAACGCTTACCCAAGAAATTAGCGAAGTGCCGTATCAATTTACGAGTTCAAGAACATATATGTATACATATGCATGAGATATACACTGCTATATAGTATATTTGTGTGTATATATAGCTGTTCGACTGCTTGACTGATTGGTGTTTATTAACCAAACAAATATATTGAAATGCTAAGAAATACTTGCTCCTTTGTTATTTTAGATATTGTTTGTTTACCTATGTAAAAGTTTATAATGCTAAAAAACAGAAAAATTAAATAAAATATTTATACAAGCTACAAGCTGAAATCTGAGGGCAAAGCGCTTGAACCGCACAAGACCGGTAAACACAATCAAGTTATAACAGAAGAACTGACAATCTTAATAACTTCGGCATTGGATTACTTCGTAGAACTCACTGTTTACATGCCTCGCTGTGCAAATGTTAGTCACAATTCAGATATATGCATATGCGGTATCAAAATACGAGACTAAATGGCGCAACTAATGGAAAAATCTTTATTGACAAAGGGAAAGCTTTGGTACGCAGTTGCAACTGCCGCGCTGCTGCTGCTGCTGCTACTGTGAGCTGTTCATCGTTTCATTCGCCTGTTTCTTGCCCTCGCCTGGAAATTGTGGGCCATGATTGTGCTGCTGGTTCTTGACCACCAGCTCACCTGTGCTGGAGCAGGTGATTATGCGAGCAGCACAGCGCAGATAGCGGTTTCTGGCACAGAGCCAATAGGTCTTCGATCCCCGACTGTTGTTCCGAAAATACTCGAAGCCGCCCATCAACAACTTCGGCTTGCCCTTGGTGCCCTTGACAATCATGATGCCCTGCTTGCGGACGAGTTCTGCAAGGAAAGAGAGAAAGATAGTTGAATTAGCTAACTGATATCCAAAACAGATACAGACTAATGTATAACGTGCATTATGGTACGAGAATTAGTTCAGGCATTTGCAAAAACATCTTTATATTAGACTTCGAAATAGGTCCACTTTAAACTAGTTGTTAGCTGTAGTCGACACCGTGTACTCCTCCTTGGCTCAGTGACTCTGAAAAATTAACGAATATTATGTATAAGCTATATACAATGAGCTTTAAGTCGATTTACGTTTATTTATTTATATATAATGTCTTTAGACTCTTTTACTTCTTCCTTCTCTTCTTAACCTTAGCTGCTTCGCGTAGTATCTAGAGTCTAGACCTAGGAAACCGCATTATCTTTTATCTATATAAAAATAGTTGATACTATAGTAGTAGTCACATATCAAGGAAGAAGAAGACATTAGGCTAATTCGAATAGTCTAGACTTTGTAAAAGAATTTTTATTTCGAACTGGAACCACATTAATCTGTATCGTACGTCGACGCTCCCATAGCTGCGTTGCTCAGCTGTGTGAGTGGCTGGCATATTTGATCCGGTATACCTCCTGGCCGCTCTTCAGCTCGTGCGTCGTTGCCCTCACTTTGCAGTTGGCGCTGCGATATCGCGCACAGCGCCAATTGATGCTGCTCTTCAGTTTCCGATCCATAACGAATTCGTGTTTGTCTATCAGCAACTTGCGCTTCCTCTTGCGAGTGCTCGTAAAATTGGCCAACAGCATGATATCTGCAATGGAGAAGCATACAAATATATGGAATTAGTGATAAGAAATATATTTCCAATTCGACTGAACTTTTAATTTGATCGAAAGCTTTTGCTGCAAATTGTTTAATAATTTTATTTACCTATTTCAAAAATAAGTTCCAAAATTAATATAAATTAGTATAGAACAATTAGTAGTATATACATATATTTATGAGCTCAAAATTGCACTCTATATATGGACACAAAGATCATGTTTCACTTAAAACTATTTTTACAACAAAGGCAGAAAAGGCATGTTTATAGATGAGTTCCGAAGGTCGAACCCAAGCCTCTTCCCGTGAGCACAACTTAAGACATTTAAGTAATATTTAAAGAACATTTTATATTTATGTACAGCAAAGGGTTCGTATCCTGTTTAACCTTTTTTCGTAGTATAGCAAAAATACAAACAAACTACAAGCCACAAACCTTCGTGGAATATTAATCAACATTATTCAACAGTTTCTGAAACTTTCAATTAGCTTTGGCTAGAATAAAGACGACAGGGATTCGAACCCTTTATTGATACTGCCGGACATCTAAACACAGAAAGCTTTTCTATTTGCAAATACTTTGTAGACTTATTATAATATTTTATATATATTCCAAATTTAATCAGAATATGCAAGAATTCAAAGGAAATTCATGAAGTCCTCTAACCTCTATATTGAGTTATATGCTCTATGTAGTAACATAAATCCTTAAATTTTAAGCAAATATAACCTAAATCTCAAATATCCCTAACTGAGGTCCTGGGTAGAATATTTGAAGCAAATTACACGATTAATTTATTTTATTTTTAACCTGGTAACCTGGTAAAAGATCAGGGACCGAATCCCACCAAACTTTCAACTGTTATATACTTTAAATGTAATAAATTAAGCGATAAGCAATGAACTAACATGCGTAGTCCAGATCGATACGTGTGACACCATCTAAGGATTAGAAACCGCAACTAAATTACTCAATAGTTGGAAAACAAAAGGTTCAAATATAATGAGAAACAGTTAAATTTATATAGTAAAAGGTGGTATAGGTACCGCCGTTGACCTAGTGACGCCCACGTAATGCATTCTTCATCTTTCGTCCGTATTCCTCCTGGCTGTGATTGTGTTTGCAGAAGTGGACAATACTTCCATTCAGAGTGTGAATACGCCCATGACATTTCAGTACAGTCGTGTACTGGGTGCAGCGCCAATAGGTCTTATTGTTGATAGCCTTTTCCCGGACATAGTAGAAGCCCTCATGCAGCAGGAGAATGCGACCCTTCTGGCTGATCACGTAGCAGAAGTTGGGTAGATCTAAAAATACGAGCAAGACGATTATATAACATTATTAGATAGTTTCAAGTTCTGTAGATCTTAAGCTAGTTGGCATAACTATATTCTTTAATATGGAGATAGTGCGACAGATCTGAAAGATACGATATCTGAATATATGTGAGAAGGGCTTCTAGTACATCTGTTGCTAATCGAAATCAGATATAGTGGCCGTATAATGTACACTTTTTTTAAATTTTATTCTTAGAAATATAGAGTTAAGCTGATCTGAACTATACAATTGGTAATTCTATCTTTAGATCGCATCGTCTGTCAGCTCGTTCAGCTCCTGCACCTCTTCCTGATGCAGCTCAAAGCTAACCGCCCCCTCCATCTCACGCTCCAGCTTGATTTGCGCAGCATCCTGTGCCTGGGTCATCGAATGCGCCTTGCTGGAGCTATATTTATTCCGCTTAAGCTCCGCATGCACGTGCTCCGCCTTATTGATAATGAATTTTGGTGGATTCTCCTTGAGCATAGTTATTCTTGCGGGACACTTCAATTTCTTGGTGGCCATTGAGCTGCAGCGCCACAGAATCTTCTTCTTATTCTCGCTCATTATGAGGAACCGTATGCCATTGGCCATTATAGCTGGACGGCCGCGCAGCGATTGCGTAAAGAAGACCAAAACGTCCTCGGGATTGGGCACCTCCTCATTGGCCAGCACAACTGCAAGGGAAATGTTGAATGATAAAACAATTAGTTAACGTTCAATTGGGATAACAACATTATTATAATCGATTAGCCAAATGCCAAATATTGCTACAGCTCTGCCTGGAGTTTGTTTTCTTTTTTCTTTCATTTTATTTACAAGCAAAAAAAAGTGCACTTAAATTAGATCTTAAACGCGTTTGCTTCTGCTCGACGGCTGCTGGTGCTGGTGCTGTTGCTGCTGCTTCTCCTTGCGCTCCGGTCGGACATGGCAATGTTCGTGTATTTGTCGAAAGTCATTCGAATCGTACTTATTCATGCAGATCAGCACCGGGCAGCGGACGTGGCGATAATACCAATGACAGCGCCAAAAGAAGTTGGAGCGATTCTCGTTGTTTCTGAAGAACTTTAAGCCATCCAGCCAGAGCAGCTGGCCGCCGCGTTTTGAAACCGAGAATTGCACATTAGGCTTGTGTGGAGCAGCAGCAACAACTGCAAAAGAAATAAAAAGAGGAATATTTTACAATCAATTAGTTAGAATTAGTCATATACGAGTTGATTTCCTCGTTTTAGTGGTCTTTGCACATTGAAAAACTATGCGAATATTTGCGTGCTTTAATACATTTCTTAAGATCCTTACGAGCTAGCAAGTTAACAGTAAAACTAAAATTCGTAGCTTTGCTTCGATTTGTACTCATGGAGCGGTGGGGGCGGACGGCTGGACAAGATTCTAGCTGGGAGCAACTCCGGTGAAGCAATATCACGTGACTGCAACTCGAGTTCGGGTTGTTGCTCCGGCTCTCGATCATGCTCCCGCTCCCGCTCCCGCTCTTGATCCTGCTCCGGTTCCTGCTCCTGTTCCTGCACCT